TAGAAACCTACATAGCTTATACTATTAAATATGTATTGTAAAACCCCTGCCTATTCTCCAAAGTTGTAGAAGATTCACGAGAGTAAGAATCAACAATATATGTATATACGTAAACGCTTAAATTTGTATTGTTACGTAAAACTGAGATTTCTAGAACGCCTCCGTAGCCTATTAATGTAACCAACGCGACGCGCTAAAGAGAGTTATCTATTATTAGTTTGCTCTAGTCAGTGTGCTATAAACTTTGGAAGCTATAGCTTTGATTGTTATAACGCTTATCAATTGGAAAACTTAAGATATTTGACCAGGAGCATTTACAAAGCTCGAACATTACAAATCATTTAACCTTAGTGGATTCTCATCGCACATTAGTATTTTTACGAAAACATTACGTAACGTCACCGGTGGAAAAATCGGCGTGTGATCGGTAACGGACAAAGCTAGCTAGTTTCCCGTTCAGCTCGAAATCAACTCGCTCATCGTGAACCCTCGTTAAGATATCGAAGAAGTTCCAGATTAAAAGGAAGACTTCATATTGTTTGTAAATTTGTGAAAATTTTGCTTATAAATCATTGTTTGTAATAACTATTTGTAATAACTGTTACTGTAAATTGTATTATTGTGTGTATATTAAAACGTATTTGTGTTAAAAAAGAAAACCGTTTATCAATCTCGTTGGCATATATCATAAACTGACTATATATTGGCTTTTACTTAACTACTAACTCCAAAGTATAATGTAACTACTAAATTTAAAATATCATTTAACTCAATTTCAGGCCATTTGAAATTCTAATACGTAACAGGATGCACTCGTGTTAAACAATACTTTTCATCATCACTTGCTATTAGTGTTTGCTAGCAAATTGTTATCAAATTAGATGTAAGGTACCATCACTTCAAGTTGGGAGAGTGGAAGAAAGTAGCCAGCCTTTGGTCAGTCTCTAAGAAATTAGGGGATTACAATACTCTAAGTCAGTGTTTCCTAAGCTATGGTTCACGAACCCCCCAAGGGTTCGCGAAATGTTTAAGGATTTCTGGGAAGAAATGGCATAATAGTAAAGTCAAAAGTGTTTGCGCTCATACATTACATTGGGTAGATGATAACTTCAAGACTACTCATGAGAAATGCATTTTTTTAACTTGAGCTCTTTCTGTGACTGCAGATGCTTCATCAGTCTCATTTCTGTCTGGTTCCTCCAAACTTCTACTGTTTGGTATATTACTAATCACCATGTTGTAGATGGGTGACTTCATACACTTTGCCTCAAGGTTTCCCACATAATATGGAGTGTCCACTTTTATTCTTGGTATGGAAAAACCTTCTCACTGTCCCGTCAATCAGCACACAGATGTACCTTGCTTGTCATCTGGTCTTTAGATACTGATTTGGTTCTTACTGCTGCCCCCAGTGTCCTGTAGCCTTCACCTACTGGCATGTTGTGGTTGTTGACACCTCTCAATGTTTGTCTCATTCTGCAATAACCACTGGCACTGTTGACCCATTCACTAGCTTGAGCTCACCATCAATTCTGCACTGTATAATCATTGTGATATCTCTTCTTTCTCGTAGTGAGTCTGGTGAATTGTCTTTATTCTGTTTCTTCTGGCAGCAGCATTCATGGTGGCAATCATTATTTTCTTATTTCTTGCCAGCAACACCTTTATAGATAGCTCCAACTGTTTTATGTTGAGAATTCTGCAGTTGCTTGTTGGTAATAGACTTGCACTCATTCACAATGTGCCCCATTTTATAATAAGCATAGTATCTCTTCTCCCTTTTATCTGCCCAGCTTGACTCGCAATCTGAGGGCCACAGGTTCGAATCCCCGTTCCACTAAACATGCTCGTCCTTTCAGCCGTGGGTGCATTATAATGTGATGGTAAATCCTATTATTTGTTGGTAAAAGAGTAGCCCAAGCATTGGCAGTGAGGGGGGGTTGATGACTAGCTGCCTTCCCTCTAGTCTTTCCCTGCTAAATTAGGGACAGATAGCCCTCGTGTAGCTTTGTGCGAAATTCAAAACAAACCAAACACTTTTATCTATTGACTTCTTGTCACCTTTGGTAGCATCCAGCTTCTGTACAGCTACCCCTGGTTTCGACTTTGACTGATTACTATTGGACTTGGCCCTCCATGGGCTTCCATATACTGTTCTGCCAGCTTGATCACCTCATCCACATCTTTCGGTGTTCTTTTTTTTTAGGACAGTATTATCGCATAGAAAGATGCATACAATTTGCTGGCGTCAGAAGTTTCTTGATGTATACAAACACTCGAGACCTTTTATTTGACTGTGATTTATATTAGACCTATAGCAAAGAAGCTTCTGTAGGCAGAGTCTTCTGAAATGCATGTTCTACTTGATGTTACTGCTAGCAATACCCCAGAGTCTAGAAAATCAGAGGCTGCTTACATGATTATGACTGTATTATCTGAGCTTCTTGCTTCAGAACAAGATAAGGAAGCCCCGCTATTGTACCAGGAACTATATTTTCTGTTTCTCAACCTGTACCACTAACACCGCAGATCTGGGACCCTCAAGCCAACTAGGAAAATTTTAGAAAATAAAGTAAATTGAAATAAAAGTTCTTTAATCAATATGTGACTGACTTTTGTCTTCGGATATTTTCTCACCATTGTGAATCTTTCTTTTCAAAATGAGATAAGAGAGAAAGTTTTTTTTTTTTTGTAATTAAGCACAAAGCTATACAATGGGCTATCTGTGCTCCGCCCACCGCGGGTATCGAAACCCAGATTATAGCGTTGTAAGTCTGCAGACATACCGCAGTGCCACTGGGGCAAAAGAGAAAGAAATGTTCTTGTAAAACTAAAATGAACTTTACATATATATTTTCCTAATTGTGTCATTCACCTCAAAATAGAAACAAAACATCGTGTTTTTTTTTACATAATACCTGATACTGTGTTATTTGTATTTAACCAAACATGTTTTGCATGTTATCATAAATAGCTGCTGAAAACTAGTTCGACTTTAAAGTATTAAGAATGCAAAAATATAGTTCAATCCAAGCATAGATTCAGACAAAAAGAGTATTAAATGTTTCATTAAACCAGAGTTTCTCAACTGTTTTCGCCGCAGTGTCCCCTTCAGCAAACAACAACGCTGATGCTTTTTCTTTTCGCATTTTCTCATCATCGGCGTTCAGGTCTTATAGACCAGGGAGGGTCAGGTGCGTTTGATCTCTTCCTCCCTCAGCATATGTTATGGATTCCTGAGTAATATTATAATAATTACCACAAGAGGATCAGAGTTAATTTAGCGCACTCGCTCTGACCCCTTTCAAGGTCATGTCTATGTAGGTAATTATGGTAAGATTGGTGCAAAAAAACAATGTTGCTTCATTTGGTTGTGCCCCCCCCCACCCACCCCGTGGCATAGCGGTATGTCTGCGGACTTGCAACGCTAAAAACCAGGTTTTGATACTCGTGGTGGGCAGAGCTTTGTGCTTAATTGCAAACAAACAATCATTTGGTTGTGTAAAAGTTCTACACTGCGCAAACATTTCACATAATGTCATTTTTCCCCAATGTTTCTCGAAATAATTTAATGTACTATATGAGAGTCTATCGGTTATTGTTTCTATGTTTGCGTATTTATGCATGAAGCTGGAGGAGGAGGTTGATCTTGGAACTTTGTATGCTGTTGTGAGTAATGTGTTCTGTATTGTTTCTACTTTATTTTGTATTCGTATGGGTGCTACATTTATCCATGCTGGATCTGCTAATTCCGTTACGGGTCGTATATATATGTTTTGTATATTTTTAATACATCATCGGTTGTTGCTACACTATTTTTCCCGTTAGACTTCTAGCATAGTTTCTTTATTGCGAAATTTTGATTTTGATATTATTTAAATGGTTAATCCACGTTAATTTTGAATCATATGTGAGACCTGGAAATTTTGCAGATGTAGCAATCTGGAAAAGTGTTCCTTTCATATAGAGTTTTGGTGGGTCTTTTTTGTGTGCTTTTTTAATTTCGTAAATACTACCAGTTGATTTTTTTTTAACGTTAATTTTAATTTGGTATTTCTCGTAATATTCAACTATTCTATTTAACTAGGGCTGTAGGTTTGATGGAGTGGGAGCACTTTTCCAAACTGCTCTCTTCTAATAAATGTTTAATTAATACAAGTATCGAAAGTGGCGCCAAATGAGATATGCTCAACGAATAAACGAAAAACATTGGTTGAGCGTTGCTCGCCACAAACACACCCATTCAATGATTTTTGTTCAAACGTGTTGAAAGAAGAATTCCTATTTCTTAGTGTTTTAATCTTAACAAATATAACTTTGAAACCCTCAAAACTTTCTGTCCGGCCCTCAAAGTTTACTGCCTCCCTGAATTTTATATAATGCCCACGAGGGAGCGGTACCGCCAAGGTTGGAAAAAAAAGTGGGCGCGAATTAGAAATTATGGCCACAGCGTGTCAGGAAAAGCACGGAGAAATTATATTTTTGGAGGAAGTTAGCGATGCTTTTGAAAAACATCATGAATTTGATGGGAAAATTGTAAGAATAACCGGAAAGTAAGTTCGAAACAATAAATGACATAGTAATTACTGAGACCATAATTTTCTAATTTGAATTAAGTAGACTTGGGCTAGTAGGACATGTTTAGTGATGATTTACAACTAATTCTGTTTGCTCGTAACACTAAATTATTAATCTTTAAATCAGTATGTAAATTGTAAGAGCTAAGACTAACTGCATAAAATTAATAAAATCCTAGCCTGTATTTTCCTAATCTTAAACTTGTATCATCTTACGATAAATAAGAATGTAAAACAAAGAAAGGAAAAGTTTTATCTTATCCGTTATCGATCCCCTGCTACAAGGTTATCTAGGGCCGTTGTAAACTTCAGTATGATCACATTTTATTCTTTCCTCTTTCAGCTAGTTTGAACTACTACTGGGTAGTATTAGTAGCACTGTTTTCTTAGCTTCACTTACATTATATTTTTCATTTAGTTTAGCCACATTCTTACTTTTTCATAATTTTTTTTTATTTTAAAATATCTGTATTTTTATACTTATAGGTTAAAGTAGTGGTTTAACTTGTATAAAGTATAATAAACTATAAAAAAAGGTACTTGGGTAATATTATTAGTATTAGTAGTAAAACTTGGAAGTCAAATGACATTGAGTCGATTGACTTGAGTGTGATGATAATATTAATGCTGTTAAACTTTAAGTTAAATTGAAGTGTAATAATTGATATTCAAAATGGTATTACTGTTAGTGATATTAATCAGTAATGATAGGACTGAACCTGACAGTGTTTTAAAAGAAATCTCAATCCACAAGTAGAGAAGTTTAAAAAGAATTTCTTCATTGTAAATATTGTTTCAATCTCAAGATGACTGACTGAAAAATTGCATTATTAATCTCATTTGATCAATTCTCTATTTATCTGCTCAAGAGTGAGGTTATTTGTAATAATGTGATGTTAGAAGTATTAGGGACAAAATACACAAGTTTGTGGTTTAAAGACTGTGATATAACGGGATGCTAGAAGTTATGAAAACTGTAAGATTTGGAGAACATTTAGAATAGCAGTTTGTTTGAAGTTCCAGATTATAAGCTATTTAACACTGATAGACTTTTAAAAAATGGGGTGGAGTTGCTATATACAACTGACAAGCAAAAGTACAGATTCCTAGTGATAGGATAAGTTTAAGTTAATCTAGTACAAGTGCCTATCTCAACTGATGGAAAACGTTTAAGTTAATCTATCAATTTAAATTATTTCATGGACTTTAAAAAGGTTAATTGTTTTACACTCTTAATTTCACTCAGAACCAATGCACTGAGCTACTTATAATGGCTACTGTGAAAGTAATTGTTGAGCATTTCAGTCATGTTAAGAGCTGCTCAACAATAACATATGGTAAATTTATATTTTTATTCTTTAAGATGTATCACATTTTGAAATGTGAATGATAGTGTGATTAATACCTAACAATTTAGTGTAGAATATCCTGCTTGCGAAATAAATTTGGTATCAACATTATTCATGCCTTTTTTCCCATCATTTCAAAAGTGGATGTTGAGCTTTGCCTGCATGTGCAGTTTTTCAACTGTGAGACAGATGAATGTTCAGACAGACACACATTTCGCAATATATATATATATGTATAAGATGAACTGCTGCCTATTGGGAGTTAAGGCATAGAAAATGGTGGTTAAATAGGTTAAATCAATTTGGATTACATTGAGGGTTTTCAAGGGTAGAAAGTTCTTCATTGCCAGTTGTTATAGTTTTCCTTATCAGACATATGATTTCAATGAAAATTTATATAATGAGATCAGGTCTGTTAATGATAATAATACTGATGCGATAATCATGAGAGGTTTTAATTTTATGCATATTGATTGGGGATAGTATGGAATCAAGTAGTGAGAGATAGAAATCTCTTTGTGATTCAAGTTGGTTTTCAGTATTAAATTGTCAGGGTGCCAACTAGAAGGGATACCATGTTAACCATTCTTGAAGATGTAATTACAAGAATTTAAGTAGTAGAAACTGTATGGAAAAGTAAATTTTACATAATTAGATTTAAAAATTTATACATGTTTGACAAAAAAAAAATTTTATTTTAGTTCCTAATTTTCAGAAATCCAATTTGGTGACCATGAGACAAGATTTATCATTATTGAATTGTGTAATATGTTAAAAGCTGATGATGGACAGGTTTAGGGCATTTTTAAAAATGAATTGCTTTTAATTTAAAAAGGCATGTTTCAAAAAAGGGGGAAAAAAAGATAGCAGGTCAAACCTACAGTAATTTGTATATTATGGGTATCAAGGAAAAAGTAAGGAATAAATACCATAGGTCTAGGAAGTTTATGTTGACAGTTACGAAGAAAGATTTACAGAATTATAGAAAATCAAATCTAGGTATTTGGTTAAAAATGAATTCAGAAAACAGAAAGGACTTATGACTAATAGCTGGCTAATAATGTTAAACCTAACAGCAAGGATATTTTTACATATGCTAAAGGTAAGCAGAATCTTGATGAGGATTGGGCCATATTAACGGATGCTGATGGTAAGGATTTTTTTGAGGACTGTGAGATGGCTGAGTTTAAAAAAAATACATGTCTGATTGTACAATAATATTCCAGATTCTGAGCACACTAAGGGAGTTATTGAAATCCTGAACCAGGCAGATATTAATACTTTTGTGGTAAGTAGAATGATTGAAAAATTAAAAACAAATTTTACAGCTATTTTTAAAGAGGGTGAGAAGAGCTGCTATGAGAATTACAGGACAGCCAGTTTTTTTTTCCACTTATGTAGTGGGGAAACTTCTAGAGTCTAACAAAAGAAGTTTTTCTAAATCATTTAATGAAATATAATCGGAGAGCTAATATGATTCACTAAAGGGATATTTTTCTCACTGGTCCATTACTTGGATGATTTAAGAGACTGATCAACTAGGACATCAAGATCTTTTTCTTTCATAACATTGTTATGGTTATTCCCATCAAAATTATATTTATAATTCAAGTTATGGTATCCCACATGCATTATCTTGCATTTATTATCATTTAAAGCCATATGCCATTTATTTATACAACTTAAGAAATAATCCAAATCATATTATAAAACAGCAGCAGCATCTTCACAGCCAGAATCACCCAAAACCATAATATCAGCAAATTTGGATAATTTATTGACCATTTCATCGTGTATGTCATTGATGTTAATCAAAACAAACAAATGCCCTACCATTGAGCCCTTAGGTACCTCACTTGTGACTAATCCAATTTTACTAAATTCAGTTTATAACAACTCATTTGTTTTTTTCCATTGAACCACTTTTCTATCTAGTGAGCCAACTTGTCCCTCACATGTATGAAGATAATTGTTTTTAACAAACATTTTGTGTGTCACTTTGTAAAATGCTCTTGCTGAAAATCCTGATAACCAAATCTATAATCGTACCCACATCTGCATAAGCAGTAACATCCTCAAAGAATGTCAAAATATTAGTATGGCAAGATTTTCCTTTAGTGAAACCATATTGACTACCCACCAAAATCTTAAACTGTTAAATGGCTTTGCAAGTCATCTTTTACCATACTTTCAAAAACTTTTCCTACCACTGATGTAAGACTAATATGCCTATAATCACTGGGGCAATTTTTATCACATCTATTGAAAAGAGGAATAACCTCAGCCAACTTCCAATCCTCTGTTACGTGGCCACCATTCAAGGCCTTACAAAAAATAGTAGCAAGATACTGGTATATACAATTCTTAACCTGCTTCAAAACCTTTGGGTAACTATTATCTGGCCCAGAAGCTTTATCATTCTTTAAACTTCCCATTTTTTCTTAACAAGCTCAAAATTAATGTGATCATCTTGTTCAAGCATGTTTCTCTGTTCAGTATGAGGAATACTGCTTACCTCTACATTAGTAAAAATTGAAGAAAAGGTAGAATTTAAAATCCCAAACATCTCAATCATCTCATATGCATCTTCCTCTATTATCCCTCCAAGATCTTACTCCCATCATAATGTCTTGCTTGCCCTTAATCACTAAGCATGGTAGCTCTTAGTATGTAGGGATGGGCTGAGAAAAAAATGGCTGCCGCATTCAATCTATTATTCTATAATGCTCACAAGTAACTGCTAAAAGTGTAGCCATATTTGAACACCTAATTGCCATTATCAAGTGTTTAACAGCTTGAGACTCCTTAATATCATTGAAAAGTGTTGCTAAAGTGGAGAACTGGGAACTAGCTAAAGAGGCAAAGTGTTCATCTTTCTTTTCCCCACACTAGCCAAAAAATGTATAGAAGTTTTTGCAATGGCTTTAGTATGACAGAAAAGCATATTAAAAGCACTTGGGAACAGGCTATCACTAAGCATGGTAGGGCTTTGTGTAAACTTAAAAAAAAATATAACTGTAGTGTAAACAAAAGTATCATTAGCCTTGAAAGTAGATTGTCTACAAATATCTGGTGTTCCATTAAAAAGCTTAAGTACAGGGTGAAACAGGAATTACCAGCCAATAACATATAAACAATAAATATTACAGTTGGAACATCATTGTATTTAGAACATTGTATTTAAACACTGCATTAAAATAAATAAAGAAAAAGCTTTTCAATAAAGGAAGTAAATATAGGTATGGCAAATATAAATCCTTTGTTATGTTTTTGAAGGATTGATATTAGCCATCCCTACATTAACTTCCTTTCTTGAAAGGGCTTTTCTTTACTTGCATAAGTGAAATCTATAAGAATTAGTCATACTCGTTTGCTCTTTTGACCTCGTAAATACAATGTATAAAAACTTATTTTGTACTAACACTTTCTTATTGACATGAAGTCATAAGAAGATTATTTCAAATGAAAAGTAAGATTTAAATGTATACCATAAAGATGTAGAAAATTCTTTAATATTTTAAAGGGGACTGTGATGAGATCAATGATTAAATAGTGAGGAATGAGCAAGTATCTGTGCAGAAAAGTTTTTACATAATTTGTAAGAAACTAACCTGAAATAATATTCAGAAACTAAAATAATGTTCAATTTCTTTTAGTATAGTAAATATATTTCGTACAAACTGTTGTTGTAGAAGGTTTGAGAATTCTTATATATTTTTTTATTTAAAATAATTTGCTGATTCCTGTTAAACAAGTGTATGATTTCTCTAAATTTGTGTGTAATATATAAGACTGGAAAAACAAATACTTTGTTCAGTAGTATGTTCTTTTTTTGTCTCACAGAATGATCCTCAAACTTTACTAAAATGTGTCACTATTGTATCGGAATTTCTGGAGATGTCATCACTGAAAACAGTCAACCCCACTTTACACTCAGTAATGGACACATTGGTAGGTTTTACTTTTTTCTGAGGAAAAGAAATTTATTTCACTCATACTGTTAAACCTGTAATAAAGTAAAACTTTTTATGTTTTATAGTTTAGTCATTTATTGTATAAAAATGTTTTGTGAAAATATTTAAATTAAAAAAATTATACTTAAAGTAAGATCTTAACTAGCTTTCTCATCAGTTGCTCCCAGGAATCCAGAATGAAGATCCAGCAGTAAGAAATCAGGCAGTAAAAGCACTCGGGCTGTGTTGTCTCTTAAATCGGGATGTAGCTTGTCAACACCTCTTGTTGTTCATGCAGGTAACACTTTGAGTATTTGTTATTTGTAAATCTATTTTATTTCATCCCTGTTTTTCAAAAGAACATGTGTAATTTATACATTGAAACGTTTTAAGTATTTCACATGTTTTCAACATCAGTTTAAAATTAAGAATGTGATACATTCAGTACTTTTTTCTCTATATTTTTATACTGTGATTAGATTTCCCAAGTTGACCAAGAAACTATTCAGGTCACTGCATTAAAGGCTATTTTAGACCTTCTCCTTGTGTTTGGGTTGGATGCTTTTAAAGTAGAAGGAATTTCAAATGAGACAACTGAGAGAATTGAAGAGGTGTCAGAGACACCATCTAAAGGATCTGAGGAAAGTATCGTAGAGTCTCAAGAAAACCAACGAGCTACCTCAAATATAATGGCAATTGTAGCTGCCCATCTAGATAGTGAGGTTAGTGTTTCTCAGTTTGCAGGAAAAACAAATTGATCCTAAAAACAAGGATAGTCTATAAATACAATTGAGGGTATAAGACCTGATATATGAAAGTTTTTGTTGTTGTTTTTTTCTTTTTCCAAGGTATAATGATACAAAGTCTAATTATTGTCGTAACTGCTTGGATAGGAAGTTTTGTTTAGATTGTTTTATAAAAGAAATTCTGAAGAACCTACTAGAGGATTAATTGCTTAGAAACAGGTTTTACTGTAATAATGAGTAAAATTTTAAGTTTTGTGTTAAAAAGTGATTTAATGTTTGTGCATTAACAAGAAGCCTAGCTTAAAGTTTCTTCAACAATGAAATAATTTCTAATAGTCTAGAGAAGTCAGAACTTTGGCAGCTGAAGGAATTGGTAAACTGCTGCTCCTTGGACATGTTTACTCCCCACGCCTTCTCTCTCATTTATTGCTTCTGTGGTATAATCCAGCTACTGAAAATGATATACAACTACGCCATTTCCTTGGAGTATTTTTGCCAGCTTTTGCTTCAGCAGCACAGTAAGTTTTGAAAAATCCTTTATAATTATTATTAGGATAATATAATATCAGTGACAAATAGTCCTATTGTGAAACAAATTATTTATCGTTTGTGCTTTTTTGCACGCACCTGAAATGTAACACAGTGAAATTCAACCATTAATTAATCTGAAACAAAGTATACAGTTGTCACTCAGCATCACTGTTATTTTAAAAGTAAGTGACATAGATCTAGGTCCAACTGTTTAAGAGTTTCATCATTTTCATGAAATGTTTAAAATCTTGCATCTATACCATTAAAAATAAAGTTATTATAATGTATTCTGTGTTAAATGAGAATAATGCTTATACTTTGTTTTAGAAAGGTCCAACACAAGCATAATCCTTCCATGTTCAATATACATATCTGTTTAAATTATATAAATCTTAGTAGTGGACAGAATTACACAAAGTTCAAAAATTTAAATTACTACAATACCTACACTAAAGATGGCTCCACAAAAGATAGAAATGCTCTAACTAACAATATTATATTTGAAATTGTGTAATGCATATAGCATTAGTGCTGGCATCGTAGAATTCTTGTATCGGTGTAATGCATGTAGTAGTAGTGCTAGCTAACACTGTAAATTTTTAATGTCTGTATTTCATTAAGCTTTAGTGCTAGTACTAGATTTTTAATGTCAATGTGATACATGTGGTAAAACCAGTACTGTAGATTGCCAATGTCAGTGTGATACATGTAGCAGTAGTGCTAGCAATGTAGATTTCTAATGTCAGTGTAATACATGTAGCAGTAGTGCTAGCAATGTAGATTTCTAATGTCAGTGTAATACATGTAGCAGTAGTGCTAGCAATGTAGATTTCTTATTACACTGACATTAGAAATTTACATTGCTAGCACTACTACTACATGTATTACACTGACATTAGAAATCTACATTGCTAGCACTACTACTACATGTATTACACTGACATTAAAGACTATTTGTATCCAAAAGTTTAAATGTTCCATACAGTGAATAACTTTGATAAAGGCAACAATTATCATTTCTTCCCAGAGCTCAAACCATATTGTTTTTGTCAAACAGCCACACTTTCTGCCATCTATTTTTTTCTATTGACATATAGACCTTTTTATACAGTACTATTTTTATAATTTGAATAGTATTGAACATTCACAACTTCTTGAATCACCTCAATTAATTATGCGAGATATAAAGTCTATCCACTTTAATATGATGGCATCTTTGTAGGTGTTTTCACATCACCACACAGGAGCAATAAAGCTTTAATAAGACTAAAAGTGCAACTCGTTAATGTTGCTTAGAAGGAATTTTGAGACAAATATCATTTTTCAATAAAAATAAATTCATCACCATTCATTAGAAATCTACAATGCTAGCACTACTGCTACATTAGTTATTATTAACTTAAAGAAACTTAACAAACTTTCAGTTTTAACTAGAATAAACTTTAGTAGTGCATTCCACAGACAATAAAAAATGAGACCTTTTGAGAACTCTGTTTAGACTAAATATCCATCATAATTCTTCTTTTTGAAAACAAAAAAGCATTGGTTATTCATTTAATGACAGAGGTTCCATAGATTTGACCACTTTCCAAAGTCATTGTTAGGTAATCAAGCCTTAACTTCTCTGCTCATGGCAGGTATAGCTTCTTTGTTGATTGACTCAGATTGTTTTTTTCAACATTACTTTTACAACTCTCTTTTGAGGGGATTTTGATATGTAGGTAGACTGACTGCTAGTTTTTACCCTATAAAACTTGAGATTTCCCCAGTATTAATAAAATATTTTGTAATCTCTTTGTCATTGATGTACTTATTTTGATATCATTGATGGCATACAATTTTCCTATTTATATATCCAGAAAGTGTTCATTTTTGCAATACTTTTTTTACTGTGAGCAAATACTTCCTAATACTTATATTTACCCACTTTTACTGTATTTGTGTTAAGCTTCCCAGTCACTGAACCATACAACCTGCAGTAGTGACTACTAATTTTTTCTTTTTTTTTACCCAAAAGAGTAATGATGCAAAGAAATCTCGAAAGTTTCCAGAGCATTCCTGTACATTTAGGCTTGGTCATAAAATTTATGTAAAATGTTCTTTGCTGTTAACTGTTAGCAACTTGCTAGTGAGTGCTGTGAAAATTATTTATGAAAGTAAATGTCCTTTTGATACAAGATACCAGCATTTTGTCCAAAATATATTTGTTGGTGGTGATTGAAGAGTTAATACATAACTAAATTCTGATTTTTGATGCCAGTCACTGACTTTAGGCATAATCTGTGGTAATATTACTAGGCTAAAAATTAAAGGTACTTGTGTAAATGAATAATTAAAACATTTAAATGATCAATGTTTTTAAATTGTGTACCTAAAAATATTGATTGTTTAATTGTGTTAATTGCAGTCTGTGTTATATTACATGCAAGTCTGTTTAAAAGATAAATTCAACTTATTGTTACTAGATTGTGTTTATTGCATGCTTTGGATTTAATTGCACTTTAAAAGTTAAAAGGTTAAGTTTGAACAACCCCTGATACAGGTCAGGTTGTCCGAAATGTTTTATGCAAACCAATAATAATTATACTAGATGTTACATTATTGTGGTCTTTTCCTGTTTGGATGTGTAGAAGATTAGAATATTTCTTTTCCTCAAGATGCAATTAATATGCCAAAATCTACTAATTTTCTAAATAAGGTTCTTTAAAATGTTTGGTACAATTAATGATGATAATCTAATATTATCCCACAGTATTACCAACTTAACCAGGAGGCAGATTTAGGTCAGAGTGGGCCTGGGGCTGCAGAATAGCATTTGCCCCCAGGTAATGGGGCCTTGATGCAGCTGCTCCTTGTGCCCCACCCTTAATATGGCCTTGGGAAGGATGTATTGGTCATCTGAAATAAACCCAACAACACAGACCCTCAAAAAATATCCAATTAGTCTTGTAGGGGTTTAAATTGTTCATCCTAGGAAGTTTTTAGTCATCTCAGACAACCGTAAAAATCAAGCTCTATATATTTAATACAACAATTAGATTAACTCTCAAGAAGTATATTAAGCCATCAAATCATTGTGTTGTTGTTAGTGGTAGGGCAAATAGGATTTTAAGTTGTATTTATAGAAACACTGAATAAAGTTTAACGAGGTTATAATTTCATTGTATAGGTCACTTGTTATGCCACATTTGGAGTATTGTGTTCATTCTTGGATTCCTTACCTTAGGAAAGACATTGAATTGTTGGAAAGGGTTGAGAGGAAGGTTATTAGAATGGTTCCTGGAATGGAAAGGTTGTTGAATGAGGACAGGTTAAGATCTCTGAAATTGTTTTCTCTTGAAAAAAGAAGAGTTAGAAGGAATCTGATTTGGGTGTTTAAGATTGTTAAAGGAATAGACAGTGTTGAGGCATTATCTTTTTTCATACTTAATAGTTAGTATGATAGGACTAGGGGACACAAATGTTTTAGTAGGGTAGGAGTTATATTGAGTTAAGATAGTTTTATTTTTTTTTAACAGGGTAGTTGGGTTTTGGAATGGGTTACCTTCAGATGTGGTATATGCAGTAAATTTAAGGGAAGACTTTATAGATATTTGAATGATAAGGGCTGGCCTTGAGTTTTATTTCTGTAGTGGATGGAGCAGTCGAGATGGGCATGTAGGCCTTTTGTTGTCCTTAAATTTTATGTTAATTAATGTTTTCTGTAAGCTTTATGGATATTTGTGGTGTATTATATTTTTTTTGTGTAATTAATAACCTATTTCACATTTATTTATATCAATTTTCATTAACTTTTGTAATGTTTAATATAATTTTTGAACACTTTATTTTTTTATTATAGGTATCGTTTTAACAAATTTATTTTTTCTTAAAAAAGATACAACAAAACAGTTAGGGATACCCAATATAATCCAGACATTATTGGTTTGAGTTTTATGGGGTAATATTTACATCTTATTACATATTTACCTATCTGTATACATGTATGTATTGCCATATTGTTTGACAGTCGGTGATTTTCTCTTCTTTAATAACACTTGATATACTTGTTTCTTTTTTCATTTTAATTAAACATTGTATTTCATTTGCATATAATAAGTTAACAGTCATAAACATAAGATAAGTTACACTCTTCCACACAATTCTCATTTTATAGAATCGTGCAATGGAACTATTATTCACTAATAACAATCCACATAGTTATATAAGAACTAGTAATGTTTATGTCTTGGTTATATTCAGTTTGGTAATTTATGTGTTAATTTAAATATTTAAGTACTGCTTTAGAAAATTTTGAATTTGTCAGCTTAGTTTTAATTAGAAATCTAACATTTTATTTCTATGTGCAGTTGTTTTCATTTTTGATTCGTTTAGAACTGTTTTACTATGTAGTACTATGACAAAAAATTAATAGAATTTTAACAATTTTAATAGTAATTGTGTAGTGTAAGCCTGCTGTCACTTGTATATAAGGCTCTACTTGGTTAGAAACAGTTCAAGTCAATTTTAATTCTTCCAAAGAATGCTGTATAATCACACATAATTTGTACCTCTAACTTTTGTAATATAGGTCCAGTCAGGAGTGTTTGGAAGAAGCCTTTATGCCTACTTTACGTACCTTGTTTGATGCTCCTGCATCCAGTCCATTGGCAGACGTAGATGAAGCAAATCTTGCTCGCTTTATTATTCAGTTGACCAACCCATCACTGATATCATCAGAATCTAAAAACTATGGGGTAAGATTTTATAGAACAAATAAGAATATGTTAAAGGTGAATTAATAACATGATGAATAACACATGACCGTTAGATAGCACAATTGTACTGAGAAGAAAAACATTTCATGTGTAGGCACAGAATCTACTGAAATTTTGTGTTATTGTTGCTTTATATATTGCATATTAATGTTTTTCCTTGTGTGTAGACTATTCTCAGCATTTTTTGGGTCATGATTTACCCATTTATCATCTCAAAATGACACTGAAATCCCTCAAATAAGATATTAATTAACATCTGTTATATAATTTCTGTTACAATAGAAAATCTTTATTACTATAAATTTGTGTCTAGTTTTTATATATTTAATCTCTTTTGATGACATTTAGAAATATCATTTATGTTTTGATTATGTCCCATGTTCATCACCCAGATATAGTTGTGATAGACCTTCTTTAGGCTCGTCATGTTTGTAAAGAAAAGTGAATTTAACTAAGATTTATTTTCATTACAAAGTACATAATACATAAATATATATTCCTACCTTTAAGATGCCAGTGTTACTATTATGGTGAATAATGAATTAGAACACTTAAACTTTTATCATGAACCACAATAGTGGTTCATAATAGGGATCGCAAGGGATGCACAAAACCCTAATAGAACGCTTGGGCAGAAAGCACCTCAAACAATAAAGATTCAATTCAAACAACCCTTTAAAACCTTTACTATTGACTGCTTAGGCTGTACACATATAAAACTTAACAATAATAAAGCATGTATTGCTCAAAATGGCCTGTTTATAATTCTTCTGATTAATATTCTCTTGCCAGCTGAGAACAAAAACGGCTTAGTATTTTGCACCCAAACCTTTTGTAGAATACTAAATAAGATACTGTGAAGGTCGTAGGGGTATTGAAAAGTCTATTTGTTTCTTCTGCATTTTACATAAGCTAAGAAACATCATAATGCTGGAGTAAACAATGTTATCATTTCTCCTTGAAGATAGCTTTCTTACAAATATCTGGCATTCCTTTAAAAAGCTTAAGTACAGGGTGAAACAGGAATTACCAGCTAATAATAGATGAACTTTAGATGATTGTAACATGTAAATACTCAGTGCTTTGTACACTATACAGTTGGTGTCTTTAGGGAGCCAACCCCTATATTATGTATGAAGTGAAGGAATAAAAAAAAAATACACATAATATTAAATTTTATTACACACATTCATAATTACTTTAAAAGACAAAAAGGTTTATTTAAAGTGATGTTTTAGACACATGTTTATTTAAAAAGACTGCTTTTCTACTGGTAAATTCTTTTTATTTAAAGCGATGTTTTAGACAGATATGTTTTATTTGAAAAGACTGCTTTTCTTCTGGTAAAATTTTATACGCGCTTAGTGGGGGTTGGTTCTTAGTCTAGGCATATATTTGTCCATTGCTATGCATTATATATAGTGAATTTAGTTACATAGAAGCTATACATGCTAACTATATTCTCAAACAAATCTCCATGACAATCTCCAGCTGCAGCTTAACATTTTACATCTCGAACTAATGTGACCGAGTAGTCAATAGCTACAGCAAATCATCACGAACCTTACTAGCTAGCTACTAGTTATGTTTATTATCATTACAATGAATAAAGTTAACTACCATATCAAGTTATCCGTTGCCCATAGTTGAGTATAAAAAAAAAGCCAACAAACAAGATAAATAAAAAATTGTGAATTTAAAAACCTGCAAATAGAGATTGTAAAAAAAAGTAAGCAACTAGGACTGAAGATACTGTAGATGTTATTTACTCAAACTACAAATTCTTGTTTTGACTCCAAAAGTAATTGTTGGTAATGGCACGGAGCCAAAATAGGGGTTCCCAGTTTTTTATTTAACTTGTAATAGTTGTAGTTAGTTATTGGCAAAAAAATTACCTATTACCTTGTCACCTCGTACTCTTAAGATGGAACATTTGTTTTGTTTTCAAATACAGTTGAGAAATACATAGAGTCTGAGGCTTGTAATGTATTTAAATTTTTTTAACTATAGGTGTTTAACTTGCATATTCAGAATTTCCTCTATCTGGTGATAGAGCTGAGGCTGTCATATTTTATTTATTATATTTTCATTTTGCTAATCTTAATATGTTTTTTAATTTGTTTTTGAAAATGTATTTTTCAAATAAATTCACAGTGAATGTTACAGTCACTTGTGTGAATTTTTTTGAATTAACATGACGTATAGTTTTAACCTATGATACACATACACCAAGTTCAGTGAAAAAATTAGGTTTATTTTATTCCAACAGTATGCTTTATGGAAGTAAATTTAAACAGACATATTTTCAGACTGGCAATAAGTGTCTATTAATTTATAAAAAAATATATGAATATGTAAGTTGCTGCAGAAAGATAAATTTTTGTCTCATCTTCTTACATATTTTATCATACCTAAGTTCGTATTAACACACTTGGATTTTGGTTTTGGATTATTACTTAATAGTCAAGTTCATATTCTCCTGTTCTGTTTTTCAGGAAAGTTCTGTACACGATAGACTAGCTGAACAGTTGTGCAATGAAATTCTTAGAGATCGAGAATCATTCAATGTACGAGTACTAGCTAAATCTCTTACCTACCTAGAGCTTTCATGCAACTCTTACTCGACACTAAAAAACTTAGCTGTCCTCACAGAAAAAATTACAGAGGTTTGTTTTGTTGAATTTATTTTTGTAGTGAATTTAGTTTTAACAAAATCAGTGGAATTATTTATTGGTTTAATGGTGGAAACATTTTTGTATGGACTAGGCATTGGTTCTTAAACTGTTTACATTCCCATCACTGCTTTCAGATATGTAATTTTTGATATTTAGTGTTCAATATAACACAAGCAAGTGTTTAACCTGTGAAAAACAAAAACAGATAGACATGATATGTGTTTAATAGTCACTTTAGTGGAAAAAATTGTGGTTGGATGTGCAAGTGCTGACTGTTTTGCTTGTAGTATAATTGAGATATTCATTGTAGTAAATATTTTTTGTGGTTACCTTTTCCTGAATTTTCTCACGGCTGCCCAAGTTAGGCCTCCCTCTTCCCCAGTTTGAGAACCTTTGGACTAGGTGTTAAATGGTTTGGTAAATAATTCTTAAGTGAACCAGCATGTATTCAGTGTTTTGTTGTTAACTTTTGTAAACTACATATTAAAATGTTTAAGAAATAGTTCATTGTGAACTAGACATTATAATAACTTTCATGATTTAAGTGTTACAGTATTGTCTGAAAAATTTTTACAATATTTTGTAAATAATTTATAAAAACATAAATTTTGAACAGAAAATTAAAGACAGAACTTCTCTAAAGCTGATTGAGAAGTTTCAAGACACAGTGTTACAATTGTTAGCTAAGGCCAAAGAAAATGACCCCCAAGCCAGCCAAGAGTCATCATTTGTCGAACCTACTCCTCCAGAAATACCCGATATTGTAGTTGAAGAATCCCAAACCAGCACAACTGGCATTGAAAGTGATGAGGCACAGATTGAAGAATCTACTTCACAAGAGTTCTTTAATGATACTATAAGAACCCTGAAAACAAGAAAGAAAGTTGAAAAAGTAAAAATGTTTTTCTATACATGTTTTTGTTGAAAACTGTGAAGTTAATTTTCATAAATCAAGCTTTAATATATGACATCTTATAACTAGTGAGGAATGGGAATATGTGATATTTTGTTGATTACACATATATTTGAGACCTCTTAAGTAAATTATATTATGCTTTAATTTTATGAAGGAGTAAGTTATCTAAAGATTTTTTGTGTGCCATATTTAGTTCACATAAGTTATTATAACTTTTAAAGACTAAAACAATTGAATTTTCTATTTTCACCTTACATATTAACTAAAAATCAAAGCAATAGATGACAGAAAAAAATGAACTCATTTTGTCTTCAAGTGATTTCTGTCTGTAACTGTTTATTTTTTATTTTTTCGTTATTGAGTTTTATTTATCATTTCATTGTTAATTGTTTGTCTTTACCTAAGTCTGTTGTTCTTCGGACTGGTTCAAAAAGTGTGGACATATCCCTAACACCTCGAACTGCATGCCTCACCACTACAGAAGGTAAGATTGCTCTGAAATGTTCTGTTATGTGTAGAAAGTTGACAAAGAAAAGCAATAATACCTTTATAGTTAAAGAATTGAGTGGATTTTCCAAAGAAGTAATATTCAACATTAAGGATGTCATGTTGTGTATTAAAGCAGTTTTATAATGAGACTTCATTAAATACACATACATAAGTATTTTTCTCTTATTCCTGTACACACAAACATTCATGTCTGATGTGATTTAACCAATTACTTGGTAGCTGCTTATTATTGAGTTTATTCCTCATCACTCCTACCAAATGTTACATTTGAAATTAAATTATTATAATATTGTCCCATACTTTCATTTTTTAAACACTGAGTTATCATATTTTCTTTCAAACAAGAATTAATTTGTTATAACAGTTTTAGTGACATAAACTGTCATTGGTTCATTGACTGGTTGAGAGGAATACTAAACTGCTCTTTGATCTAATACTTTGTATTATCTTTACTTTCTTGACAGATATTACTACTACTAATGCAAGAACATAATGTATAGAATAATACAGTACACACTTTCAAATATATAAAGAATACTTCAAAAATTATAATAATTCTAATAAAATATTAATCATAATAAAATGAAAGTCAAAGTATATATAATAGAAAATGTCACAACAAAACAGCTTAATGAGCTGAGTTTAAAACCTAAGTCTATAAGCATATGGTTTTGGCTTATCTTGGGTCTTATTTTTATCTTAAAACATATTTATTCTTATGTGTGTTAGCATTTTTGTGAGAAAATAGATCAGTAATTTTTGTATATTTTATGAGTGTCACCCATTTGTTGAATTAGAGATTTTTTTAATGCAAATTAACTATACATTGGGAAAAATGTGAGATTTAGACTTTCTGTTAGATGTGTTTAATATAATGTTTGTAATATTTTCCCCAAATTTGTGGTTGTCCTTCATTCCCCTTGACTCTTTTAGCACGGGCTCAGTCCCTGGGACTGACCTTGTAACCATTTTGTGATTGTTATAGTTTTCATGCTATAACTTTTAAATTAATAAGCAAATGTTAATGAAATTTGACAGTTTATTAGTAAACATTACAATGCTTTCATACACAAAATATAAATTTTGTTATTAAGTCTTAAGGTTTGTTAAGCCGTGTTTTTCTCATCTTTTTTTTTTTTTTTTTTTTT